TGAGACAGGGCCAAAGGCGCTGCAGGGAAGAGTGGCGTGATGGGGGTGGCACGGAGGAGGGTGCCAGGGCCAGCCAGCCCTCCCGCACGGCAGGGCTCCCTTGGACCCGCAGCGGACAGCGGAGTGGTCTGGGAGCCCCGTAACCGCTCCAGAGTGCGGTCGCACACGCAAGTTCCAGGGAGGGGAGGGGGGCAAAGGTGTTCCCCGGAGCCTGCCTGCCGGCCGGCCGGGGGACCATCTGACCTCCGCTGAGGAGCTGCTGGCGCTGCTGCTGGCGCTGCTGGGCACCAGGCTGTGCCGGATGCGGATGGCGGGGTCCTTGGTGGTGATGGAGAGCCCCCACTGCAGGATGTCGGCCAGCCGGCTCCACAGGGTGAAGACCACCCGGGGATGCTCCTGGTGCAGCTGCAGGAAGTAGACTTTCCGGGTCATGGTCTGAACCCTCAGAATGCGCAAGGCGACGTTGTGGACAGACAGCCGGACGTACCTGAGGGGAAGCATCCTGAAGGGGGGCGGGAGAGAGGCAGACAAAGGAGGGGGGGTCAGACGCTTTGGGACCTGGATGAGACGGGGCCAAAGGTGCTGCAGGGAAGAGCGGTGTGGTGGGGGTGGCGCGGAGGAGGGCGCCAGGGCCAGCCAGCCCTCCCGCACGGCAGGGCTCCCTTGGACCCGCAGCGGACAGCGGAGTGGTCTGGGAGCCCCGTAACCGCTCCAGAGTGCGGTCGCACACGCAAGTTCCAGGGAGGGGAGGGGGGCAAAGGTGTTCCCCACGCGTGACCTCTCCACAGGCCACAGACCTCCACGCTCTACCTCTGGGCCTCATCTATCCTACCAGATGCTGTTTTAAAGGTGCGCTCAAGGAGAATCCAGAAGCCACATCCCTCCAGGACTCTTCCCAGCCGGGCCGGCCGTTGAGAGAAAGGGAAGCCCAGGCCAAGGGCCACGGGAAGCAGGGCCGTGAAGGGCCCTTGTCTGCAGGCAGAAGCCCACAGAGCCCTGGAGGGCCAAGGGGCCCAGTGAGCAGCAGGAATCCAGCACAAGGGAGGGGGCGGTCGGGGGGGAAGGAGGGAGGGCAGGGAACTGCTGGTGGATGGAGGCCAGCGAGGCAGGAAAGGGGCTCTTTGACGCCAACATGGGAGAAAGCAGAAGGGGGATCAGGCTATGGAATCTATAGGTAGTTGGAATACATGTGCTTTTGAAGGGGAAAGGCTAAAGGCCGGCAAAGGAATCCATATATTTTGGGAGAGCAATGGGGTGAAAAGGGGTACACATTGATATTATTGGCTACCTAAGTCCCAAGGGTGAAGGTGGTGGCACGGGTGGGGAAAGGTTTTTTGTGTATTGTGTGTAGTTACTACTTCTGTTCTTTGGAATTTTCTTTCTTTTTAAAAATCAATTATTAAAAAGAAGAAAACGGGGATCGTGGAAGATGGGCTTCTGTGCTGTGGAGGAAGCAGAGCTGTTGAGTAGCAGCAGGATTGGAGGCCTGATCCTTACTCCGAAAGCCCCTTGGCATGTTTCCAAATGCCTGGTCAGGTGAGCAGTCGGCACGGGGCCCAACCCTTCATTCCTAGCCAGTCCTAAAGGGCAAGGCGGAGTCCCCTCTCCTCACCGAGGACTTTCCCCTTAGCTGAAACTGGGCCTGGCCGCCAGCAGGAACTCTGAAGCAGAGGGAAGGAGCCCCACACGGCTGACCAAGTTGCACCGGCCGAAGCTGCCGGCTGGTCACCAAGACCGCGTTTGCTGGGGGGGGCAAAGTTCTTGCATGGGCCCCTGATCCTCTTTCAGGACAGAGTCCTAAGCCCCGGAAGGCTGGCAAGATGTGGCGAGGGAGACGGGCTCAGGAAGGGCAAGCCCAGCTTTTCAGGAAAGGACCCGAGAAAGGTGCTCACATGACAAAAGGGGGTGCTTTCTCTTCTCAAAGACTGCCTGGCCCGCCCTAACCCGGGCATGGATGGCAGAAGGGCACTTTTTTGGGCAAAGGGCAAGTTGCTCGGGCAGCCTGAACTGCTTGAAAACACGCCACACACACATACCCAGCCCCTTTACCTGGTCAGCTCTATGGCGGGTCGCTTCCGAGACTCGCTGGTCCCCTTCGGGGGGCTTTTCCTGTATTTGGCCATCAGGAGCACGTTGGGGAGGGGGAGGCAGGGGTCCGAGGAGGTGACGCCCATGATCACGATGGTGGGCACGTTGGTGATGTTCACCCACTTCCCCTTCTTCGTGACCTGTTGGGAAATGTCCGACACCCCCCACCCCCCAACCAGGGCCAGTTATAGGTCTGGAGCACAAACAGCCATCGCTCAAGGCTGCTGCTTGCTTGCCTTCTCCCGGGGGGGGGGCAAATGGCTGTGCCCCCCTGACCTGAAATTGAGGGGCAGCTGACGTGGAGGAGGAGGAGGAGAGAGGCTCTTGTCCAGTAACCAAGCCAAAGGCTTCAGCCCCTTCAGGGGTGACAGGAGTCGTCCTCCCCCCCCCCTGCACCAGCCGTTCTGCTTGCAAGCAAAGACGGTCAGCAAAGAGGAGCAGCTGGCTCCCACTCCGTTCCCTTGGTGCTTTCTGGGCACGACCAAGGAATGCTCAGGAGGTACCTTTGCCCTCCCATGGTAGGAGCCGAGTCCGTGCAGATTCCCTCCCCTGACAAGGAGAAGGTCCCGCTGTAGCCCCGAAAGGGCCACACGAGGCCCCAATACGGCCCTCCCTTCGGGAAAAGGGCCCCTGCATCCGTGGTCCTGCACAGAAAGCCTAGCAGGCCGAACCAGGGGGCTGCCCTCTCCCCCACCCAGGAGCGGCCTCGAGGCGAAGGGTCTCGGCTGGCTCCTTCTGCCTGCCAACGAACCCCAGCTTTGCCCGCTCATAAACATGCCGGAGAGGCTGAAGGCCACAGTTGTCCAAGCCCCCCAAGCTGGCTGTGGGGATGAGAGAGAGGCTGGCGTGTCGGGTCAAGGAGGACATTGCAAGGATGGTTGAAGAGGGAAGGCGCGCACAAACCTACAGTATTAAAACCCAGGTTGCTTGGAATGAATCTTCTTCGGTGGACTCGTGTGTTTGTGTGCGTGTATTTGTGTGTGTGCACGCGCCCGAGTCTAATCCCAGTGATGCCTGGCAGCTGCTGCAGTTCTCTGCTCGGCCCCTTCCTCTCTCCCTACAACCTCCTGCCTCCAAGGGGCCCTCGGCTCATCCTGCCCGCGGGCGGTACCTGGACAAAGTTGCTCTCAAAGACCGCAGAGTTGGGGAACACGTTGTAATCGGGCGAGTGGATCAGCTGGCACAGCGGGCCCCCTTCCAAGCCAAGCGCCTTGCCAGCCTCTTGGTGGCCAGCTGAGCCCCTTCTGGCCATGGGGCTGTGCGGAGGAGGGAGGCAGGAGGAGGAGGAGGAGGAGGCAAGCACCGGGCGGGGCTCAGCATCCCTTAGGGCTGCGGCTGCTACCTAGGCGCCTCCCAGCCCGGCCCTAACCTGGTTTGGCTGGTCGGCCAGCAGGGGGCAGAGCTGAGCTGATCCCGCCTCCAGAGCCGGCGTCCTAGCAACAGCCTTGGAGGAGGCGGGGCCAACTGGCCAGGGCTGTGATGTCACACTGACTATCCCTTGGGCCTTGGGCCTTGCAAGATAGCCCTTCTCCTCCAGGCACAGGAAGGCAGCACACAAGAAGGGCTCCTGTTCAAGGCACCGAAGCAAGCTTTTGAGGTTACACAGCATGCTTGAGCAAGATATTCATGGCGCAGTGGCTTTCAGTGCCTGATGAACGAAGCTACACCTGGGAGGAGCCCCACCGGCAGGAGGGAGCAGTCAGCGGCCCTTTTTTTGCCACTCAGGAAAGAAGGAACTCCCAGGACAGGAGAGAAACCTGTGGAAGGAGGGGTTCACTCTCTCTCTCTCTCTCTCGGGTTCTCACTCTCTCTCTCTCTCTCTCTCTCTCTCTCTCTCACACACACACACACACACACACACACACACACACACAGAGGCTGCACCAAGGAAACACCCCCACCCGGCACAGACAGGCTCCTGCCGTTTAGCAAAACAACCCAGCTTTTATTTTAAATAAAAACGTGACCCGTGGCCGCCTGCAGGGTGAACCATCCATCGGCAGGGAGCTGAAGGGGATGGATTTTAGTTAAAACACACCTCAGTGAGGAGGGGTCCGTGCCCCTGACCCCCCCACCCCCACTTCTTCAAGGCAGCCAGAAAGAGCCAAGAGGAGGAGGAGGAAAGGACGAAGGGCCGCCTGGACTCCTCGAGGGCTGGGCTGGGGCTAGTCCAACGTTCGGTTCGGCTGCCAGACAGGCATCGGCACCTCTGCCCCCCCTCACCCCCCACCAGAAGCCCCAGATGCCCCACCCCGGCCTAGGGTCAGGGAGGGACCGCCCGACCCCACTGGGGCCAGGGTTGGGGGACCGCACTCTGTAGGGGAAGGATGATGATTCCTCCGCAGCCCTAACTGGCTCCTTTTCGGGGCCCAAACTCTGCAACTGACATTGCACTGGAAACAGGATACCACCGTTGGTTCCAGGCAGCTCAGCCCCTCGCGCACCATTGCCTTTCTTCCTCCGGGGGGGCAGAGGTGCCTTGCTGCCAGCCGCTCCCCCCCCCTCCTGCAAGGGACCTCAATCCCTGTGGGCATCGGGCCCTGCCCCAGCCCCCCCTCCTTTTCCACCAGCAGCTGCTGCTGCCCCCACTGGGCTGGTGAGAGCAGGCGTGGACCTTACGCCTACTCGAGATCCAGACACAGGTGTTGAGAGGGCTCTGCCTGGGTCAAAGGACACGCCAAGGACTCACAAAGATGGGAGCGCCTTTGCCTTACGGGCTGCCTGACCTGACCTTCTCGCTGCAGTGCAGAAAACTCCAGGCACCCCAGAGGGGGGGCTGGCTCCTTGGGGGGGGCTTCCTCCTCCTCAACCAGCCCCACCCGCACTCGGTCCTCTGGGGAAATCATGGCTGGAGGGGAATCCCAATCCTGGCCCAGAAAGCTTCAAAGCCCCTTCTCTCCGACGTGGCACAGCAGCTAAGGGGCCGGCATCCATCATCACAGCGGAGAAAGGAGGAGGCCAAGTGGCCAGAGCATGCGGAGCCCAGCCCAGCCCTCGGCCCAAGGAACAAAGGCCCAGAGATACAGGGAGGCAACCCCGGCTTCCATGTGTCACAGGCCCTTAGCGGCCACGCTTCGTGGCAGATCCGTGGTATGCGTTTGCAGAGTTCCCGGCGTGGTCTCCAGCTCCCGGCAGATGCACCCCACAGATGGTTTAATCCAGCAGGGCTGGTCGCTGAGTTCCAGTGGCGACATGCAGGCCTGGCTTCTTCGACTGAGCCCTCCAGGTCCCTTCCTGTCCCACGGCAGGCCAGAGGGGAGCAGCACCATCCAGATTTACGCCGCCTCCCCCCCCGACACGCCCCCTTGCATCCCATCCACGTGGCCTGTGGTCCACCGAGGCCGTCCGGCGGCTCATGAGAACGAGCCGAAGGCTTTGCTGGTCCTTCTGTCCCCCACGAGACCCCCGTGGGGGCCGTCCACGGGGTTCCCCTGCTCCGGCTCCATCCACGGCCCGGAGAGGCAGGGGTCCAGGCCCTGCGGGGGCCTCAGGTCGCCCAGGAAGTCCACCAGGCCCAAGAAGGCCGTCACGAGCGAGAGGAAGAGGCCCAGGAGGTAGAGCTTCACCAACCAAGGCATGGCGGCCGGCAACGGGGCTGACACCCTCCCGAGGCGCGGCTCTCTCTCGAAGGCTCCTGAAAAGGGAAAAGCACACACTGTGAGGGGAGGGGGGGGACTTTGCAGTGGCTCCTAGGACGACACCCCCTCCCCGTTAATGGAAGGAAGCCCCCTCCAACCTCCCCATTCCAGCCCCTTCCTCTTCCTCCCCCTCCAGAGACGGTCCAGAGCGAGCTCCCACTTTTGCCAAATAAATGCCCAGGATCACGAAAATCAGCCCCACCGGCTCGTTCTCATTAGCTTTAGAATTTCAACCAAGGCCAGGATTGGGGAGGGTCAGAGCCGGCCTCAGCCCCTCCACCGCCAGAGAGAGAGGAGGAGGAGGAGGAGGAGGAGGAGGAAGGGCGCAGAAAGGGAGGCGGCATGCGCGCCTCTGCCCTGTTACATGACTTGGCGCGGAGAGCCCCTCGTGGTCAAGGCCTCGAGAACCCTCCGATCTGACTAAATAAGAAGAACTTGAACCGCCCACTTCCCTTGCCCTCCGGCAGGTTTCTAGACCTCAAGGATAAAAAAGATAAAAAAGGGGCCCGGCTTTGTTTCGCGCAGCCACAGGCGGCCCCGCGCGCGGCGCAAGGGCCGGAGACCAGCGCCCGAGAGCCCCGGCGAGGCCAGGCCAGGATCCCGCGCAGCTCGGACCCCCCGTCGCTCGTGTCGGGGGCAGAAAAACCAGCAGAGAGGATCGGGAGGGGGGGCGTTGCATCCCGAGGCGGCGCTCCCCTGCGGAAACAGCTGGCGGGGAGGGGCGGGGGCTGCCGGCAGCACCTCCTCCGCAGTATGACAGAGAACACAATACCCTAAAGTTTTAAGACTGGTTTGTGAATACGGTCCCTAGCGTCTGCTATTGATCGTTTGCTATTTTAATGCATTTTTACTGACCGACATGTCCTGTGGTAAAGAATATTGCCTAAATTAGTTATCTGATTGGTTCTTTTGATTAATGATGGGACTGTGCTTCATTACACATGACAACATGATCAGAATAATCACTACAGCCATCGAAGCCAGGAATGGCTCGTCCTTTTTTTTTCTTTCAAATGCCATCATTTTTAAAGTTCATTTATAAAATTATTTAATGTATACATCCTAAGTTGTAATTTATTTACATGACACTTTTTTCGATGGGAACTGTTGTAGTGTGTCACAAATGGCTAAGAAAACAAGGTAAACTAGATGTACAGATCAATGTCTCCTGGCTCAAGGGGAAAAAAACATAATCAAGATTCAAGAGCTGACCTTGTCCAAAGTCCAACTTGTCACACAACAAACAGTGAAGTGCCCAGCAAATCATTAGGATCAGCAGGGATATGTTCAAAGGAAATTTAAAAATATATCAATTCTCGCCTGTAGTTTTACTTAAACTTCAAAGCCAAAATATATCTGTACACAAGTAAGAGGGCTGTGCTCCTGGTCAGGACTGGCACAAGGTTGAAAGCATTGGGCTTTGCCTAACTTTGCCGTTGGCCAGTTGCATCTACATCAGGTAGGGAATAATTGTAATTCAGACATTGCCAGACTGGTTCTACTTCCCAGAGTCATTGTAACCCTATTCAGATACTTCATCCTGTGTTTGGCAAATGAGTGAGGTGGTATCATGTTAGCCCTGCCCTACTTTCCAATGTCCATTCTGAAGGAAATCAACCCTGAGTGCTCACTGGAAGGACAGATCCTGAAGCTGAGGCTCCAATACTTTGGCCATCTCATGAGTAGAGAAGACTCCCTCGAAAAGACCCGGGTGGGGGGGGAGGGGGGGGGGGGGGGGGGGGGGGCGGGGGGGCCCCCCTAAATCAGCGCCTGGCGCCAGGCCTGGAGAGCAGGCTTCGCTTCCTGGGAAAGGGCTGTTTTTGTTTCCAGGTGGCCAAGAGTTCTTTCGAAACGGCCATGCATTTACAACTTTTACATAAATTGTCATCTTAGAATTCATTGGCCCCAATCCGAGGGGTGGTTCGCAGACAGGTGGTATAACTGTGGCCTGCCGGGCTCACAGCCATGGGGCCCAGGCGTGATTGTGTGCCCAGCTGCACAACCAAGGTGTGCCCCAGCAGACCTTGAGTTTCAGTTTGGGGGGGAGTACAAAGGTGGGACAACCATCACATCAATAGAGCCCTAAGAGTGGTCACCACCACCACCACCACCATCCTACCAAAGAGGAAGGCACCACGTCCCCTGCTTTGCCCTGGGCTGCCCCAGTACTTCTTCCCCCCCCCCTGAAAGGCTGCTCTTGAATAGCCAGGAGGATCCAGAGAAAGGTCAGCCACCCTGGCCGGAGGTCGGTTCCCCCACCCCCGCCCCCACCTCTCCTTAGGCTTACTTCACTGCCCCGCCTGGCCTGACCTCCCAGGGGGAGCTCCTCTTACCCTTTCCCCTACATCGCCCTGAACTGTTGTTGTGTCATTCTGATGATTTTGATCTTCTCCAGGTTCAGTTGGGAGTCCTGCATTGGCAATTCCCTCTTTCGCTTTCACTACAAGTTGCTTCAAGGCTTTGCTCCTTCCTGGCAGGAAGACGGGGTGTCTGCCTCCTTCTTCATCTAAATCTTTAGAAACTATGGCTACCAAGAAGGCCAGTGGAGGTGATGGCATTCCTGTTGAACTATTTAAAATCTTGAAAGATGATGCTGTTAAGGTGCTACAAGCAATATGCCAGCAAGTTTGGAAAACTCAGCAGTGGCCAGAGGATTGGAAAAGGTCAGTCTCCATCCCAATCCCAAAGAAGGGCAGTGCCAAAGAATGCTCCAACTCCCGTACAATTGCACTCATTTCACACACTAGCAAGCTTATGCTCAAAACCCTACAAGGTAGCCTTCAGCAGTATGTGGATCAAGAACTCCCAAAAGTACAAGTTGGATTTCGAAGGGGCAAAGGAACTAGAGACCAAATTGCTAACATGCAGTGGATTATGGAGAAAGCCAGAGAGTTACAGAAAAACATCCACTTCTGTTTCATTGACTACACAAAAGCCTTTGACTGTGTGGACCACAGCAAACTATGGCGAGTCCTTAAAGAAATGGGAGGGCCTGACCATCTTATATATCTCCTAAAACATCTATATGTGGGACAGGAAGCAACAGTTAGAACTGGATATGGAAGAACTCATTAGTTCAAAATTGGAAAAGGAGTACGACAAGGCTGTATATTGTCCCCCTGCTTATTTACCTTATATGCAGAATACATCATGCGAAAGGCAGGACTGGATGAATCCCAAGCCGGAATTAAGATTCCCGGAAAAAATATCAACAACCTCCGATATGCAGATCATACCACTCTGATGGCAGAAAGTGAAGAGGAATTAAGGAACCTTGTAATGAGGGTGAAAGAGGAGAGGGCAAAACATAAAAAAACTGAGATCATGGCCACTGGTCCCATCACCTCTTGGCAAATGGAAGGGGAAGATATGGAAGCGGTAGCAGATTTTACTTTCTTGGGCTCCATGATCACTGCAGATGGCGACAGCAGCCACGACATTAAAGACGCCTGCTTCTTGGGAGGAAAGCGATTACAAACCTTGACAGCATCTTAAAAAGCAGAGACATCCTCTTGCTGACAAAGTCAAAGCTATGTTTTTTCCAGTAGCGATGGATGGAAGTGAGAGCTGGACCATAAAGAAGGCTGACTACTGAAGAATTGATGCTTTAGAATTGTGGTGCTGGAGGAGACTCTTGAGAGCCCCCTGGACTGCAAGGAGAACAAACCTATCCGTTCTGAAGGAAATAGACCCCGAGCGCTCACTGGAAGGACAGATCCTGAAGCTGAGGCTCCAATACTATGGTCATCTCCTGAGAAGAGAAGACTCCTTGGAAAAGACCCTGATGTTGGCAAAGTGTGCCGGCAAGAGGAGAAGGGAACGACAGAGGACGAGATGGATGGACAGGGTCATCGAAGTGACCAACATGACTTTGACCCAGCTCCGGCAGGCAGTGGAAGACAGGAGGGCCTGGCGTGCTCTGGTCCATGGGGTCACAAAGAGTCGGACATGACTAAATAACAACAACCCTGTTGTGGCCCAACAGAGCCGGCCTCTTCCCTCTGACCTCAAAACCACAACAGCCACCTGAGACAAGCCTCTGCAGGGTTATAGCCCTGAGTGTGCCTGCCTATAGACCGAAAAAGAGTCTGAGGGGGGAGGAGGGAAGCCAGCAGCCTCCTTCTTTGAACCCGGCTCCCAACCGTACTGCTTCTGATCTTGCAGGAATATTCGCCCCCTGCCAAAAAGATTCTTGTATTCGAAGGAAAGTGACATGAGAACCTTCCTCCGGGAGAAGGGAGCTTTTGATGAGTCCTCAGGATTGATCTCCTTTCCCCCGCCTTCTGGTGGTGGAGCATTTAGTCTCACGCTCCCCTGCCTGGGCTCAAAGGTGCCAGGGGGGGCCCGCTGGGGGCCGGGGTCTCAGCCAGGAGGATTCAGGGTAAAGAGAGCAGCATCAAGCACCGGATCTGGGCCCCGAGTCAAGTGGAGCAGGGATGACTCAGGAGGCTTCCTAGAAGACTTCGCTCTCCCCCCCCCCCCCGACACACACACACCCTGTTCCTCTTCCAGGCCAAGCTGATGCCAGAGGACACCCTCGCGTTTTACAGGAAAGGCCCCGGGAACAGAACGAAACCCTTCAAGGACGAAACGTAGTAAATCATATGATGGAGTGAAAGGAGGGAGACTCCACTGGCTGAGCAGAATAAGGTGTCAGGATGATTCAGGGCCTGGGGGGGGGGAAACTCATGGACATCCTTGAAGGGTTCGTTGTGGGGGGGGCATTTATGGTGCCCTTGCACAGACATATGTTTTTTTCTGGGGAGGAGGGACAGAGGTTAGGGTTGTCTTAAACTGATAAACCATCTGACTCTCTGACGTGTACATTTTGAAAAAGCAAAAGAGAAAAGCAGCCTGGAAAGGGAGGGGGGAATGGATGGGAGGGGGGGATGGAGGTGCTCGGTCCTCCTCCTCTCCCCCCCCAGCATCGCCCCACCTCCCATGCTGTCAGTGAATTCTTTTATCTTGTTTCTTAGCACCCTGAAGATGTGTTGAAAAGGGAAAGAGGGAGAGGCTGCCTAGTGGCTCTTGTTTGCTGGTTCTAGGACCTCCCCCTCCCCGGCCTGGATCAAGCCCCCTAAGATTAGGGAGCAGATCAAATGATTGTAGAGCTGTGGGGCACCCCCAGGATCATGGAGCCCAACCCCCGCTCCAAGCCATAACAAGCACTGTTGGCACCCGGGCCAAGGGGCAGCCCCTCCTATACCAACTCTGCCCTGGGGGTGGGCACGGACCACCGCAATCATCCCCAAGGAGAGAATGTGTTGTGTTTTCTAAGATTCACTGTCCAGCACATTTGAGCGTGATGCCCTGCTGTGAATGTTGGGAGTCTGGGGCCAAGCCTCTCGGTCGCCCTGCCCTCATTCTGGCCCCAGTGACACCCCCCCCCGCCAATGCAGGAGACCCACAGCTGAGGGGGACCCTGATGGCAGGCCCTCCAACCTTGACGTTAAAACCTCCACCGTCGGACCCATTGCTGATCAGCTCCTGCTCTCAGGGAGGTCTCTTCTCGTATTTTCCCGTATTTCTCAAACTTACAGTTTGTGTGTTTGCCTCCTCACTTCGGGGGGGGGGGGCTGCAGAAGACAAACATCCCTCCCTCTTCCCTGGGAGAACCCCTTCCACTGCCGGGCCTTTTCCTCTCCCCTCTTGCTGGCAGGGCTGAAGTTGGCACCAAAAAAACCATCTGACTCTCCAACGCGGACAGTTTGAAAAAGCAAAAGAGAAAAGCAGCCTGAAAAGGGAGGGGGG